CTCTCCTGCTCCACCCTGGGCCTTTGCTCATCGCATTTCTCCCCTTTGAAGTCTCCTCCCTGTGAAACTCCAGTCCAATCTTTAGTTCTGTCTAGAAAGTGTTTCCTCCAGGAAGCCATGCGTGCCCACCTCACCACCAGATCTGGGAAGGAGGCTCCCCTCTGTTCCGTAGCCTCCTTCCCATGACAGCATTGATGAGGCTGCCTCATCACTTTCTGTTCCTTGTGAATCTCCTTACTCAAGTGCAAGACTTGTGGGTCAGGGTCTTGCAGCCTTGGTTGCTACTGCACTCGCAGCACCTAGTCCTGCCGAGCACAGACACACAAATGCAAGGAGTGAACGAGAGCTGGAAGGAATCTTCGCAGCAGCTGCTCACTTCAACTTGAGTCTTCAGCTGCTTTTGGGTAACATCCTCCTCCTTGCCTTGGCTCATTGAGCCTCCTGCAATTCTGTCTTACACCACACTGCCTCCTGGCTTGCAGCTTCTGATAAGGACAGCGCTGTCCTCTCTGCCCTTCCTCTCATCTCATCTTTCTGGCTAGATGACCTAGTTAATGGTCCCCAGACTGTCCCAGCAGTTCCCCATCAGTTCCAGATCACTTGTCTTTTTCCTTCCCTCTGAAACTCACCTTCTGGCTGTGGCTTCCATAATTTTGCACATTTAATTCCCTGGTGCTGTTCACTTCTTGCCTCCCAGGTTCAGCTAAGCCCCTGAAGTAATTTAGGTAACAGCTCAATTATCCCATCTCTCTTTTAATCTTTCCATTTCCATCACCACCTAGGAAGCAGTGAAAATGAGACAAGCAATGCATTTTCTGTCCAAACCTACTGCTTCCCTTGCAGTTCTTATCTCAGTTCATGTCATCAGCATCTACCCAGTCGCCTGAGATCTGAGCCTCGGAATCACCGTCTGCTCCTTCCTCCTCTCTCTGCTCTTTCCAGGAAGTTTCCAAGAGGATTTGCTCTCCTGTTGAGAAGTCTCTCAAGTCCGTCCTTCTCTGGCCACAGGCCACACCCGGGCCTCACCATCTCTCTTTTGAACCAAGATTACCTCTTGCCTGGTCCTGTTACCAAAAGCCCCATATCCCCGCTCAACCATCAACCAACCTACCCATCCATCCCTTCATCCTTCAATCTGCCTTCCATGATCATGTTAAAACACATGTTGGTTATATCATACCTCTGCTGAAATAACTTCCATGACTCCCCACTGCCCATAGCAGACATTCTTATTTATTTTAGAAACTGGGTCTTGCCTATTACTCAGGCTGGAGTGCAGTGGCATGATCATAGCTCACTGCAGCTTCCACCTCCCGGGCTCCAGTGATCCTCCCACCTCAGTCTCCCAAGTAACTAGGACTATGGGTGTGTGCCACTACGCCTGGGTAATTTTTAAATTTTTTGTAGAGATGGAGTCTTGCTCTGTTGCCCAGGCTGGTCTTGAACTCCTGGACTCAAGTGATCCTCCTGACTCAGCCTCCCAAAGCCCTGGGACTCAGGCGTGAGCCTCTGCACCCGGCCTAATGCAGGCATTCTTAACTCTGGCTGCACATTAGGATCTTCTAGAGAGTATAAAAATATGAGTACCACACGCTACCCTCAGATATACTGATTTTGTCTTGGATGGGGCCTGGGTCTTGGTGTTTTTTTTAAAAACTCCCCATGTGATTCTAGTGTACAGGACAGGTTGAGAACTACGTGGTCTAAAAGATAAGGGGTCCCACCCCCTTAGTCTGGCAGTGTCCCCTACAATTGGGCCTTTAATCTGTATCCCCAGCCTCATGTCCTACAGTCCTCCACTAACACACTCAGAATTCCAGCTCTTCTGAGCAACTTCACTATATTTGTACCCACTGTTCCTTGTACCCACAATTCCACCCTCTCTCTGACTTCTGACCATTTGGAAAACTCCTACCCATCCTTCAAGACCCAGCACAAATGCAACCTTTTTTCATGGGTCTCTCTTCCATAGCATCTGCTACATGGCAGGCACGTTGCTGGGTGCTGGGCGTGATGACACAATGGAAATGATCCCTGCTCTCAAAGAGCTCACAGTAGGGTAAGGGGGAGGGATGGAAACTCCTTAAGGTAGAAGTTCTCTAACTTGAGTATGCATCCAAGTCACCTTGAGGGCTTGTTAAAACACAGATTCTGGGCCCAGCCCTAGGGCTTCTGAGTACGTGGTTTGGGGCTGCCCTGAGAACTTGTATTTTCAAGTTCCTAAGTGATGCTGTTGCTGCTGGTTCAGGGGCCACACTGAGAACCACTGCCTTAGCGTGTGGTCAGGGGAGTGTTCTCTAGGGAGATATTATCTAAGCTGAACCTTCAGTAATAGAAACAGGCATTCATGAGAAGAGCAGGACTGTGGTATTCCAGATAGAGGGAGAAGCGTGAAGGCTCCAGTGGGAATAGAAGGGGCCATGTTCCTGGTACCCAGAATGCACTAGAGAAGAACGATGCCTTTTGCAGCTTCTCCAGCAGAACCCATGCTCTGTGTGTGTCTCTGTTATAGACCGGAACCACTTTCCTCTCTAATTCTATTTTTCTGATGCAGCCACTCGTCAGTGAGCCCCTCCAAGGCAGAGTGTGCATCACGGCCACCTTTGGGTGCCCAGAGCCCACCCAAGACCTGACACAGTAGATGCTGAGGGATTCTTAGTTGGGGTCTAATTGCAGTGTCCTGGCTTTTTCTCTAGGCTATAAGCTAAGGAGAAATCCGTTTGTTTCACAGCAGTGTTTTAAATGCTTCATTGTCCCCCCTTTTCCTTAGATAGTTCCTGTCCTTTATCTAAATCTAATTTTCTTCTCTCAAATTTCTGCTGCCTAGATAGATTTTTAACACATTTGGTAAGAAAAAGAAAAATTCCTTGAATTCAAGGTAGCCCTCCCCCACCTACCTTCCCAAGCCCCAGGAGATTGGGAGAGATGGGTGGTGGGGGTTGGGTGGGGACAGCAGTTCAGAGGTCCTTCTGCTTGACTTTGGGAAGGTGGATGTGGTCATAATGGGAGTCAGCAGAATTGCTGTATTAGTCCATTTTCATGCTGCTGATAAAGACATACACAAGACTGGGAAGAAAAAGAAGTTTAATTGGACTCACAGTCCCACATGGCTGGGGAGGCCTCAGAATCATGGTAGGAGGTGAAATGCACTTCTTATATGGTGGTGGCAAGAGAAAATGAGGAGGAAGCAAAAGCAGAAACCCCTGATAAACCCATCAGATCTCATGAAACGTATTCACTATCATGAGAATAGCACGGGAAAGACTGGCCCCCAAGACCATTCCCACAACATGTGGGAATTCTGAGAGATGCAATTCAAGTTGAGATTTGGGTGGGGACACAACCAAACCATATCAATTGCCTTCCTCAATAGTGGGAGGCTGTGTTTTCTGAGAGCAGAACCTTGGCCAGCTCCTGGAGGTGGTCCACACTCAGGACAGGGGTGGGACAAGGCAGGCCTGGGGGGCCCTTGAGCTGCCACCTTAGGTGGGGGAAGGGCCTCTCCCCTCACATCCTGCCTTTCCAACATCTCTCTCCACACTGGAAAGGAGTCAGGGAGAGACTCCAGGTCAGAGGACAAGAGCTTTAGCACAGGTGCCCTGCATGGCAGGAAAAGGTTATTGGTTTGGTTTTGCTTTTGAATTGCCCTTTCTCTTCCTTCCTGGAGAACGGTGTATCCACCCTTTCCTGAGGCTCACAGAGGGGTCTTTGCAAATGCAGATGGTCCCCAACTTGACCATGGGTCGACTTCGAATTTTGAGAATTTACGGTGTTGTGAAAGTGATACACATTCAGTATAAACCATATTTTAAGTACACATAAAACCATTCTGTTTTTCACTTCCAGGATAGCAGTCAACTAATTACATGAGATATTCAACACTTTATTAGAAAATAGGCTTTGTGTGCAATGATTTCGCCCATCTGCAGGCTAATGTGTTCTGAGCACGTGTAAGGTAGGGTAGGCTAAACTATGATGTTCCGTAGTTTGAGCTTACTAAATGCATTTTCAACTTAGGATATCTTCAACTTGTGATGGGTTTATTGGGATGTAGCCCCAAAGTAAGTTGAGGAACATCTGCAGAGCCAAGAGACAGATTTTCTCTGGTCTCATTAGCATCCTGAGCTTTGGGAAACAGTAGTGTAAGGATCTGTGTTTCTCAGACTTGAGTGAGTATCTGAATCCTCTGGAGGGCTTGTTAAAGCCCAGATTGCGGGCCCACCCCCGGAGTGCATGACTCAACAGGTCTGGAGTGGGACTGGAGAGTCTGCATTTCTAACCAGTCCCCAGGTCATGCTTTTGCTGCTGGTCTGGGAGCACACTTTGAGAACCCCTGCTTTAGCATCACACGCAGCTAGAGAGTGCTAATAACCTATCAGTCACTGCAGGACAAAGAGTTTATTTGTCTTGTAGGTACTTGCATTTTCCTTAACCCTTCCTTCTGAATACAGAATCTGAACCCTCTTAGCCCCTTTCCCAACAGCTCCATGGAGGGGCAAAGGCATGTGTTTCCAAGAGCCCAAGAGACAGAAGCCAATCCCTAGGGAAGAACAAATAAGTTAAGAGCCCAAGAACATTACAGGGGTTGAGGGAGGCAGAATGGGGGAGTGGAAGTATCTACTTTTTGTTCTTTCTATTGCATAGTCCCAGAAATCATACAAGTATAATATTTAAAACACAATTGGTTTAGTATTTCTTAGCCCCAGGGGAGGTAGCTTCTTCCCAGAAGGTAGAGGTACCTGGAGCAAGCACCATATTCAGTGGGAGAGTAGAACCGCATAGGCATCAAAGACCTGAGTTCTGGCCCCAGTGCTGGTCTGTGACCTTGGAGGATCCCTTCAGCTGTTGCAGCCTGTTTCCCCAGCTGTATAATGTGTAACAACAAGACTGACCTTGAAGGGGCACCATGGCAGTCAAAAGAGCTGAGGTGGGTGACAGCATAAACCACTGTTTGATTACAGTTCCAATGTAGCCAACCTGAGCTTTCTTGGTTTCCACAGGAAGGACCAGTACCTCCTCTCGCCTGTGAACTGTTGGTATCTGGTTCTGCATCAGACCCGGCGGGAGAGCCGAGACCATGCCACCCTCAATGACATCTTCATGAACAATGTAATCGTCCGCCTCTCCCAGATCAGTGAGGATGTCATCAGACTCTTCAAAAAGGTGGGCAAGTAGGCTGCCCCATATGTCCCAGGTTTTTGCCCCAAGCTGGCCCATGGTAACACTATACCAGCCAGAGTGGGATGTGGTTTGGAGACAAGGGAACAGGAGGGGCAGGTGCATTGAAGGATGCAAGTGGCTGAGGGCTGAGCCCGTTTGAACCCTGGATGTGCCTTTTAAAGAGTGTGTTGTCTTAGTCACTTCAGCAATCATTGCCACAAAAATAAAAACCTTTGCATGGCTAGGTAAGTAGTACATGTTCACTGTAGAAAATTTTAAAAAATGGAGATGAGCACACACACACAAAATTAAAATAACCTGAAATGGCATTGTTTAGAGATAATCACTTTGATATCCTATGTGTACAAATGCAAATACATTTTCTGAGAGTGCTTAAATGTGTATATATTCTAGTGTACATATGCATTTTTTCCAAGTCAGATCATAATGCATATATGATTTTACTACCTGCTTATGTCACCTAACAAATTACATAACACTATATTACATTTTCTCACATCAATAAGTATATTTCTATAACATTTTGAATGGTTACATAGTATTTCATTATATAGATGTACCCTAATTTATTTAATCTCTTATTGTTGAGCATTTAAGTTTATTTCTGTTATTTTACTCTTATAAATAACACTGCTGTGAGCTTCTTTGTCACATTCTCTGTTACTTTCTTAGGATCAGTTTCTGCAGTGGGAATTTTAGAGTTGAAAGTATGCTCATTTTAAGGCTTTTGACAGTGTACCTTATTGCCTTCAGAAAGGTTTTACCCATATAAACAACCAGAAGCTGAATGTGGAAGGAGCACTGAGGTCTCTGTATCCCATGTTCCTTGCACAGTGCCTGGCATATACAAGGTGCTGTGCAAATGTTTGTAGAACTAAACTCACTTTTGTGGATGTCAGTTTCCTTGTCTGTAAAATGGGCAAGTTATTTAGCCTCTGTGAAACTCATCCTCTTTATCCTGCAGGGTTAAGGTCAGCTACTTCCCGGGAGGGTGAGGGTTAAACAAATGGTGTGCAGGGAGAGTGGCATTATTACAAAGTGGTTTGGGATGTGGCCTCTGGGTCCAGAATTCTTAAGTTCTTGGGTTCATAATCCTGGTTCCATCATTTATTAGCTGTGTATCTTTGGGTTTGTTACTTCAATGCTCTGTGCCTCAGTTTCCTCATTTGTGAAATGGGGATAGAGATAAATACCCATGGGCAGATGGAAGGATTAACAGGCTTGTTGTTCCTGTGTACAGCGTGGAGAGCATCACCTGGCACTTAGTAAATGCTCATGAAAGCTGACTATTATTATGCAGATTTAAGGGACTATTATTACCAAAAGAATCTAGCTCATCTCTTCTTGCCAGGTGCCAGTTTCAGGGGTTTGGTGACCTGAGATTGCTAGAAGCACAAAGAAGGGGACGAGTTGATTGCAAATATAATCATCTCTCCGTGGTCTGCGTTTGGATTGTCCACTGTGAGGATTACTTCTATAGCAAAATTGTAATCGCAGGCTAATTTTCTCCTGCCACACAATATGCTTCTGGTCTCCTTCTGGGGTTGTGTTTATGAAATGTGGGCTAACTTTCATATTTGCATAAGCAAACATAATTAGGAAGGTAAATACAGTGCAAAGAAAAAAAAATTACACAGTGCTTTGCAAAGCCAAACTGAAGTGATCCAGACGTCTGCAAGTTTGGGGTGTTGGTTCCATTCCCAGCCCCCGCCGGCTGCTGCTGTCACATCTTTTTTCCTGGGTGGGAGTGACTCACAGAGAAAGGGTCATCCAGGCCTTTAGGAAATGAAGGGTCTTTTTCCTGAGCTGAGCCCTGGGACAAGTGAGATAAATCTTTTCAGTTCTCATTTAGGCTGACAGCAGCCTGACTTGTGATGGAGGTTAACAGGGTGGAAAATAATGAAAAAAATGTCTACAGCTGAGCTCCTGGCTGCCTTGTTACCAGGCCTGTGCCTGTGGAACAAAGGAAATAACCCAGCCCACAGGGGTTTGGAGAGAGGCGCGGACAGAGCCTGGCTGTCTGACTTTGCACAGCACGGCCCCTTTGTGTTGCATCAGTTATACCTAATTTCGGAACGGTGGCCGGCACTCTTTACATAATAATAGTTCCCGCAGACCTCAAAGCAACTATGGAGGCTGCTCTCTGGTCAGACTGGGGATCCTCACTCACTCCATTTTACAGGTGAGGAAGTAAAGTGTTGGGAGGCTGCAAGGAGAACCCAGACTTGGTTGCTTTGGGCCCCTTGTCATTACCAGCAGGAGGCAGCGTGGCTGGGCTTTTGGAGTTTGTTTCAGAACCGCCTATCACTGCACCCTGGGCAAGTCTCTCTGAGTCTCAGTTTTCTCATCTGGGAAATGGAGATGGTAACAATGCCAACTTCACAGGGGGCCGCTTTAATACATAGAGGTGGGCCACGTGTCCCCCAGGCCTGGTATCTAGTAGGTGCTTATTAAATGGTAGCTTGCCAGTGATCCCTAAGAACAGAAACCACTCCCCATGTCTCAGCTGGGGTCCTAGGGCTCTACCAAGCCACATTCTGGCAGTGAGGCTGCAGGAGATGGGAGCAGCTACTAGGCCAGGTGTCTGTCCTGGGCCTATCTTCTGGCCTGGGCAGCTGCCCCGCCTGCCAGCCTCTTACTGATGGGGGAGGTGGTTTGACTTCATAACTTACCTTTTCATGATTCTCTATTTCCCCTTTAGAAGTGGAGTCTGTTCTTATGACTAGAGGCAGCACTTCAAATTCCAGAAGCCCATGCACGTGGCCCTTGCTTTAAGTGTGAGATGTGGATCAGCCATAGCAAAATTAAACTGAATGAGATTCAGGAGGCCATCTTTAGTGATCAGCACTCTTATGGTGGCAGACAGCAGAAATGCAGCTTACCCTGCTTTAAGAGAAAAAGGGATCTTACTAGTCATAAGCCTGGCTTCAGGCATGGGGGGCTTCAGGGGAACAAAGGATGTTACTAGAATTCTGTCTCTCTGCAACTCTGTTCCTGTTTTCTCTGTTTCCCTTTTTTTTGGGTGGGGGAGGCTAGGGGCTCTTTCATAGTCAGCCCCCCGCCATGTGATAACCAGAGGGCCCCTGGCATCTCCAGGCTTACATCCTCTCTGCTTCAAGTCCCTTTTCACAGAATGGGATTTTTTTTGGTCTCTGATTGGTCCAGCGCGGGTCACGTGAGCACACCCGGGGCTGCTTCTGTGGCTGCGCGCTGCAAGGCTCTGCTTCACCAGGCCAGGAAACATACCCGTCCCTGAAGCCAGATGCACACTCAGTTCCACCTGACCCATGGGACTGAGAATGGGTGAGGGGTGGTTCCCCAAGAAAAGTAGGAGTGCCTTTACAAGAAGAGGGGAGAAATAAAACAGGAGATGGCCACTGGACTCTCTTTTCCAGCCCTTTTATCATCCTCTACAGCAGCTGTACGCCTCTGCTAGATGTCCCTCAATAAAGAATGCTCCTTACCTCTCACAATAGCTCATTCCATGTGGGGACATCCGTGATGAAAAGAAAATTCTCCCAAATGCCGAAATGGAATCTTGTAGTGTTTTCACTAATGGGTCCTGATCATCCCTAGAGGGCCAAACAGATCAGACCCACATCGAAACCTGTCAGTTGCTTGAAGGCAGGAATCATGACCATCCACTGGTCCTTCCTGCCTGTGGGCAGATGTCTCAGGTTCCTTCCATCATCCTCCTGGAATTTGGCTTTGTGTTCTGTCCCCATATCAGTCGCTCTCCCTGGGTCATGCTTCAGGTCTCCTCTGACTGACAGAAGTTACTATTCAGAACCAGTCAGAATACTCTAGGAAGGTCTGAGCAGCTCAGGGCAGAGCAGGGCTGTCCAGACACTTTATTTCTCATAATAAGACCCGTGAAAGTGTTTGCCTCTTTAATGATTGTTTTACCACATGATTGACACAGTGAACTCTTGGTCAGCAAAAAGTCCCAGGTATTTTTGTACCAATTGTTTTTTAATCTAGCCTTTGACTTCTGCTTTTGTGTTTCTTCATATTTACCCTTCTAAAACTTCGTTTTGTTAAATTCTGGTCAAATGGGATCAGTGTCCTTATTTGGGTGATTTTTCAAGCAGCAGGAGGGTAACTGCCAAGAGGTCCTAATTCCTCCTCTGTGGGAAAAGACTGTTTTGTAACTTCTCCATGTCTTCCTCCTTGGTGTCACCTTCTGTGTGTCAGTTCTTTGGCCTCCTGTTTGATTCTTCTCTGTCTTCTTTGTGAGAGGTGGAAAGTGGGGCAAAGGGTTGAGAATAAATTCACAGTGAAAGTGCCCCTGGAGTTGGGTGTTGGCATATGAATAAGAGCCTGCTGAATGGGGAAAGGAGGTTGGGAGTTCAGGGTCTGGAGAAAGGCAAGAGCCAGTGCGTAGAGTTTATTGTGATGAAGGTCGAAGGAAAAAACTCAGAACAGAGGCTGAAAAATGGCAGTGCACAACTGAGTTTGGCTCTGACGTATAATCTTCTTGGCCCATACTATGTTAAGAAAGATTAAGTTGACATTTAAGCATTTAAAGATTTCTCCTAAAATCACGATTTTGTGTTTCTTTTGCAAAATCAGAAGCTCTAACTATACCAGCCCCACGTGGACTCACACTTGGCATCAGCTGGCGGTAGCTGAGTGGCCGCCAGCCCCGCAGCCTGGGCACGCTGTCTCTGCCACTCCACTGACCCTGCTACCGTATTTTACCTTACGTGGTTCCTTGATTTTGATTCTCTGGCCCTTTGTACATTTGAGTTTGTGACCCCACCTTTAAACATTACCTAACTGTGGTTCTTAAATTCCAGCGTGCATCAGGATCACCTGGAGGCTTTATTAAATGCAGACTGCTGGGCCTCAGTCCCACAGTTTCCAATTCAGTAGGTTTAAGGTGGGGCCTCAGAACCTGCATTTCTAGCATATTCCCAGGTGATACTGATGCTTCTGGTCTGGGGACCATACATAGAGAATGAGTCCTAGTCCAACCTCCT